TTTAACATGAATCATAACGTAAAATTCAAAACTCTGAAAATCTAATAATTCTAATAACAGAGGAAATCAGCGACGCATCTATTCTAAAAGGATTTCATTCAATTACAAATAACCCTGGATATCTCAATGAGATAAATGTGTTTCTCAGAGAACGGTACAGGCAGCCCTCTGTCGCGAGGGTCGTGCATATATATCCAGCAAAGTTTAATTGACTGAAAAATCCCCTCAGCAGACCGGAAAAATAATCAAAACATCTATTGTAGCGGCAGAATATATGGGAGCTTAAATTGGAAAACTTAAATTACTCGGTGAAGATTCCCGGATTGAACTTTGAACAATTTCAATATAGGGGGCGAACCGTTTTGTCCTTGTTAGTTTGTGAGACCATTCGGTGAGTGAACATTCGCAAAAATGTGTTCATTTAATGTCTTCTCTCAGTTCATCGTTAGGCTTACAGGGCTCATTGGTTAGAAGATACAGGGATGTTGCGTTAGATTGGACACTACTATTCTTCATAACATTCCAAACGTTTTACTTTTCGTTCCCGATTTCTCTATACCCTTTCAATTTTATAATGATACTTGAAAAAATTTAACAGCCGAACCAACGAATGAAACAATAATGAACTTTCGCATCAATAGATCATCCCAAAATGTCAAACTATTCTTTCAATACATTCAGCATCTTCAATAGATCCAAATAGTGGTATATAAAAAATATTATTTCGAAGAAGGGTTCACTTGTTGAAGGCGTTACAAGTGATGACACATTAATTTAATGCAACTGTCCGCTACTTGATAAAAATCCACATCAAAACTACTAATAATATTAATTTCGATTTTTGGTATAAAAGGTTAAAAAACCGCAAAGCGTGTATATTCACATACCTGCATTTTTATATTACCTATTTACTCAACCTAATTATTTCGCTGATACCGACGAAATAGTGTTTCAAATTATCTATTTGATTTTTTTGGTGCGAAACTTCAAAGTATAATTATTGTTTTTTTATTTAACTTTCATTTCATTTCAATGAATATAGTCCGTAAATAAATTATAAAAATTTCGTGAAAAATGAAAAATAAAACTTCCTATATTTTTTACCACTTGTATTATTTGTATCTGTTCTTTTACGAGAAACTTGCAAGATTTTTGAGGAAAAATAATGTGGAAGATAAAGTGGACAAGATGAAGGGTCCGGAGTGTAATAGTGTTTATGTGGGACAATGTGGCCGGAATTTGTATAAACGGTACGCAACACATGAAAGATCCTTCAAACTAGGTAAAAATGATTTGACGTTTTCAAATCATTCTTTGGGATACAACCACAATATACCGATTCTAAACGATAAGAAAATTTTGTACTATGCAAGCAAGGAAAACTCAAACATTTGGAATCATTGACATTCATAAGCATAAGCACTGCGGATTTAACCCGCTGAATAACCAAATCGACTCTGTTCATCTAAGTAATGGGGTTTAAAAATCTGTTCAAAATCTGTTTTTCCATTTCCATTTCCATCAGCTGTCGCCCCCATACGAACGACAACTCTCAGAAGTTGAGAAACTTGTGCGAGCTAAGGACTAACGAGGTCTTACCTTTAAATGTGTGATTCATAACATCCAGCAGATTCATCCCAGCTTCAACCAGATAAATTATCTCGAGAAAAATATCTGGTCGAAGCGGGAATTGAACCCACGGCCTTCCGATAGTGAGTCGGGCGCACTACCACCGCGGCCAATTCCAAAACATTATCATGTATAGCACACGTGATCTCCCAGGAAAGGCTGCTTGCACAGGAACGCAACTGCTCGCAATAAGGAACGACCAAATTATTTTGTATAATATGCTGTTGGTTATAGACATTTTTTAGGTGAAGTGTAGGGACACAAATCAGCAATTTTTTGAGCTGTATCATAGGAAGTTTTATTTCTCATTTTTCATGATGATCTTCTACCACTTAGTAACGGTGACATCCATCAATTTATGAAAATTTTGTTATAGATTTTCAAATGCAGTCAGCAGACTAATAACCATATTATCATTCTGTAGAATCATCATGAGATGAAATCAAAGGAAATTTTTCTACATTTCTGACGTATACAATATTCATCCCTATCTGATACAATAACTGACGCTGATGATACATCAGTTATTGTATCAGATAGGGATGAATATTATATACGTCAGAAATGTAAAAACATCTCCTTTGATATGTCTCAGTGGTTTAGAGCCAACTCACTTCATCTAAATACAAATGAAACAACATGTATACGCTTTCACAATAGACAAAAAGAAGATAGTGTAGTTGATTTCGGAGACTTACAGTCAGTTGATAAGACCGTCCGATTTCTTGGATTATATATAAACGAACATATTTCCTGGGGAGAACACTGTAAAATCTTAATTAATAAATTAAATTATGTGTCCTATCAATTAAGTAATTTGAGATCAGTTCTGCCTAATGATCAGTTGCTGATGTTCTACTATGCCCAAGTAGACTCCAGACTTCGATATGCCATCTCCCTCTGGGGAAGGTCTTCGAGAGCTAATGATGTATTTGTTGCACAAAAGAGAATACTCCGAGTAATGTTTAATCTATCCTCTCGACAAAGCTGTGTTGATGTATTCAAAACATGTAAAATCATGACGCTACTATCACTCTTTATCTTTGAAGTTTGTGTGTATATATTTAGTAACTATAACAGTTTTTCAACCAGATCTAGCATTCATAAACATGACACAAGAATAAAAAATCAGCTGAATATACCCTTTTCTAGGGTCCAATTATTTAAAAACTCTCCAAACTCACTAGGTTTGCCAGCTATTTATCAAGTTTTTCCTGGCGATTTCCTTGGAAATGCCTGCATATTGCTTTTTCCTCTCGATGATATTGAACTCCATTTGTGGAATTGCAGCAATAACACATGCTGCTTCTGCGAATATAGTTTTATACGCCCTACATGTTCCAATTATTGATTTCTTTTGTATACCGATGAATTGTTGGATTAGTTTTTTGTTTTGAGTTTCTGTGTGCCATGATGTTAAAACCTTACAAAATCTAAGAGTGGACCACTCCAGACAAAATCTTCCTTTCAGAAGACCTAGGACCTTCAATATTGGGCATTAGACTGGCTAACGCAGAAACTGTTCTCTCTGCCTTAAGGCAAATGTGAGCTTAGTGTTAAGCTATACCCCAAGATACTTAACACCTTTGCTCAGTGCGATATTCGTGGCTTGTAGTTCAAAAGTTATTTGTTTGAGCTTTCTTCTTTTTTGTGAGCAGTACTGATTCGGTTTTTTCTAGAGCCCATTGGAGCACCTTCTATCTGTCTATAAAGTCTTTTGAAGCTGAAATATGTGTTTTTCAAGTAGGGGTCTGAGAATTCGATAACGTGAGCTGGTAGGTCCTTGCTCATGGCTATCTGGTATGGTGCTTCATTTATTGGTAGGTTGGGGTACGAAGATATTATGTTCAGACTGGAATACATATCGTTCGTGTCCAATGTGATATTTTATGACATATGGTTGTAAATTCTGTGTGAGCAGGACTTTCTAGGTATGATTTGTTACCGGGTTTTAACATGTATTGGTGATTTTTTAATTTTTTTCACGATTTTCTCCAAATAGGTTGTAGAATCTCAAGTGACTTTTTTATATGCCTGATTTTTGGGTATGTTTTTCATTTTCCCAGTGTATTTCTCTGTATCCATAACAACGGTAACGTTACCTTTGTCTGTCTGTGGTATAGTGATGTCAGTATTCTCTGATTGCCATGAATTTCTCTCAGGTCATATTGGGTTGTGGTAGTTGACTGGTTTCAGGTACTCCGGCTATGTCACGTCGCAGTACGTCGACTTCTTCTTTTGGCAGATGATCAACAGCTGCTTCTGCGCCAGAGTGTTGGGATATTGTGAACTACTTTCTTGACATCTAGTTTGGCTTGCTCTTATTGTTTGTATTTTTTGAAGAGGTGAATGAACTTTTTCAAGTGTTTCTAGTTGTTTTTTGGGCAAATGCTTCTGCTCTTCAGTTGGCTAATCGTTCTCTCAAGTTCCGAAAAGTTGGGTGTATATGTAATTCTTCTTTCAGGTGGTTGAGTTATCTTCCCATTTCTCTCATTTGTTCCAGTAGGAGGCCTCGGCTGGCTTTCTTGAGAATTCTGTCGGTACTGTGTGTCTTTGTGTGGTACAGTAATATTGTGCAAGTTGGTTGTAGATCCATATGGCGGCTTCTTTTCAAAAATTTAAGACTGCATAGTGACTTTCACTTCTTGGTTTTCAGTTTTTCGCATGTTCTGGTGTTCTTTCATGTCTCCTCTTCATAGATGTGTAATATATTCTGGCATAGTCTGTCCAGAACGATAATGAATGTGCCTCCAGTCGAGCGTGACTCACCCAATCACCCCATCAGTTAACCGGAACGCTTCTGCCAAATAGACACACCGTCGACCGATCAGGAATTTTCACGCCACAACTACATCCTATTGAAACATACATAAAAAGTATTTCTTCAGTTTCAAGTTTACCAACCAAGCAGAGTACATGAATATGACAAGTGGGATCTTGCCGAAACATCGTGATATTATCGATAACGAACGAATGTATACCCAGGATGACACTTCAGCATCTGATACCATCCATAAAGGACTGCGCCAGAACTGGTGAGTAGTTAGATTGACACCCTGCGTCAAGTTATGAAACCTTCAAAGTGTCTCACTACCTGAGGAGGAGGCATACTTTCCAATTGTTGAAAATTACTTCATAGCAAAAACGTAGATCTGATGAAAACTATAGATGTAGTTCAACCCTGATTTCAGATTGCTGACCGCATAAACCTTTCCAAACTAAAACTACCAAGAGCATGGGTTTTCTCCACATCAGTTTCATATCGTATAAACATAAGAGATAAAGACGCTCTTTCCAAACTCATATTTAATGGGTTCTAAAAACATAATATCAAAGTTCAAAATGAGCTACAAATGATTTCAACAACTTACCTCCGCCTCTATTAGAATCGGGATCTTCCCTATATCCATTGTCATCTTCTTCTGTAGCCATCATCTGCACAACTGGTATTTCTAAAAAAAATCAAGAAAATAATAAATGAGTGAGTATATTTTAACGTTTATGGCTCATTAGATATTGAAAAATGTGGATATCGAATTACTTCATGTGATGTAATATTGTCTAACATATAATTCAAACAAAAAACACATAAATAAAAAAATTTCAGATTTTTCTTCTCGATATATTTGAAACGATTTTGATTCTTCAAGACTAGTTCTAAGTTATTTCAGCGAAATAAAAGAAAAAGGAAAGGACTGAAAAAAATTGAGAGCAATGAGCTCGTTTCGTGAAAAAGAATGTTTCGCTGCTGACATGGCGAACCGATAAATGAGAAACGACTTGTTTGAAAAGGAAGTGTTCAAGTTGCGGTAAATTTTGTATGGAATAACTTTCATTAAATTTTTACTCTCATTCTTCTGTTCTCTGGAGGTTTCTCTCTTTTTATATTAATAAGGAATTAGATATCCAAAAATTCCTTTTCCGAGAAAACGAATAATTCGAGAAAGGCAAATACTTGACGTTCTATAATGCTGGTTACCTTATAGTTATCGAAAACTTACTAATGCAAGGTGCAATATGGGAACGGCTTTGCTGGTATCCTTTGGCACACCGGTTGCAGGTAATACCAACAACCCCATCTTTGCAAGGGCATTGTCCAGTTGCTTGGTTGCAGGTCTTTCCTGATGCTCCTATTGGGTGACAGTCACATGCTAGAAAAAAAATCAATACTTTGATATTGTGAGTTTTATGCTACGTATAGCGATACTTTCATTATTCCGAAGTAAATGTATTGAAGTGAAAATGTTTATAATGGGATTTTCCGAAACTTGTTGAAAATATTTTTTATGTATGTTCAGCTAAAGATTACGATTAGCTTAAGACGAATCGTATTCAGAAACAGGAACTGTGATAAATTCTAGTCACACATGATATTTAATGTTTTCAACCGCCGATGATTCCAGTGAATACTTTTCAACAACCTTTACTAGCTGGTTATGAAATTTTTGACTGAGATTTGTGAATCAAGTGACATACAGACGATATAAACATAATATAATAATATATAACTTCTGAAAAAAAGGATATCGTGATGAAATGGCATAAGCCTATATAACCAACTTTCATAAAGCTACTCCATAACCTGATAAATAGAGGGTTCATTGGTGTCATTTTGCAAACGTGTATGTTTGCCTTGACAGAAAATTATAATTGGGGTGTTACTGTATTTGTAATTTCACCCAGAGAAATGTACTATTTTGGCCATGTTCCGAGAATAAATAACTCAATAGTTGAAGTTGAACGATTATCATTTTCTGAAAATATCTCAAAAACCATTAGAGATATTCAAAAGTTGAAAGCAGATCCTCAAAAAAAAGGAAGTTTCAATGGTGAATTTCATTATTTCAGACTTCCATCGTCTAAAATGATACGAAATGATTTGAAATCCCTGAAGAAATCAATAAAATTAAAAAGAATAGCTGAAATTAACAATTATATTGAGCCAAAAAATCCTGAACTGGAATTACAATAGAAAATAAAATACAAGTAACAATTTTAAACGAAAAATTCAAAATAAATAAAAAGTAATAGATTTCAAGTCTTACTTCACGACGTTTCGATTGTAAATTGGTCTTCAGGTAATGACTGTCAGTCACTCGAAGACGATTTCATTTTATATCATATGGAAGTCCGACCTAATGAAATTCACCATGAAACATTGTCAACCACCTTCATACAGTTTCAATGTATATACTTTTAGTTGAGCTATGAAAATACGGATAGAAACGGGTGGTTTAGTTGGTGCACGTGACGCTAGATTCGATAAGACATATGTTGACCACTGACAATGGATGTCAAATGAAAAAAGCTGAAACTATGATGATGGTTGTGAAATTTCATTCTTTGTCTGTAACACTTTCTGTGTAGTGAAATTTTGTTATTATAATTATGAGCCGACGTATCTGTGGAGGTACGTTTGGAGAATATATATATACTAAACACTGATAGCGAAGTGAGTATTTCACTGTATTACTCAAAAGTTGCGAATTGTCGATTCTTCTTCGACATTATATTTTCATTAACGTACCCTGATAAATGACAATACAGATCAAGATCTTCAGATGCTGCATGTTTTTCTGGGTTTTCCTACAGCTGAAAAAGCAAATGCGCCACTGGAATCAATGAAGTCGCCCCGGAGCGCCAATTAATTTTTGGTGTTGTTTCATAATTTCATGATTTGTATTACTTTCTTCGTTACTATTACAATATATAATACACAGTTTAGCAATATTGAATTCGCCAAAAAGTTGTATAGAATGAACATAGTTTTATGACTAAAATGTCTCTGATATTTATTCCGCCAAAAAATTGTGTATAATAATAATAATGAAATTTATTCATCCTGCTAATTTACATGAATTATATAAGATTTATGTATGAATAAACAAGAAATCACAGAAGCTCTGAACGTGCTAAAAAAGAAAATAAATATAATAAAAGACAAAAGACAAAGACAATATCGATAAAATTACATATACTAGCGAGTAGTGAATGAGAGGAGAGATAAAAGAGTATAAAAATATTAATTCGAGTCGACCAAGAATGACTTCACGAAATTTTTTCCAGGGTTCTTTATGTTTGAAAGATATCAGTTCTTTTTTGAAGCGATGTGGATTCATAATTAATTTGATTTCATGTGGAAGAGTGTTGTATAATTTTGCAGCAAGGTATTTATATGAGCGTTGGGATATTAGTTTTTGCATTTGTGGTGTGATATGTTGAGTTCGTTGACGTTTATCATATTCATGTGTGGGTAATTCAAATTTTTGTTTTTGGTGGTAATACTTATTTATTTTCAGGAAAAAGAGTTGGTAGACATCAAATACATGAGATTCCGCATAGAGAGCATCAGATGGAAAAGTGGGTTCTTTCTTTAAGATGATTTTTAAAAACCGTCTTTGGAGGACCTCTATAGGATATAAATGAGTTTTTAGGGCACTACCCCACTACCAGAGGTTTATGTTAAACTATGTATCTGATTAAAAATGACTTCAACATGAGTAGCCTCATCCTAATTATAATATTTAAAACCTGCTTATTCCATCTCAAACAGTGAAATCACCAAAATTATATAAATACTTGACAGACGTTGCCTTCTTTATAGTTGGACAGTTACATTTTTCATCGTTGCAGATAGTCTTAGGTGAAGTGAGGAAAGAACTTATCGGTTGGTTACAAGCATTCAGAGAAAATTTCATATATTTAATTTTTCATAGTCAAAACAAAACTGATCGTTAATAGGCACAGAACAGTACCTGAATAAAATTTCAGATTGTTGTTTGTGAATAAATGAATAATTACCAGCTCGCACAAATGATGTGAAGCTGTTCTCATAAATATATAGTGAATATTACGGTATATTCAGAACGTTACACCGATTGTAAGGGTTGATTCTATTTTATATAACTCATTTTGTCAAATTAAACTATTTTCAAAGTGATATTATTTTCTCATAACTGAATATTTTCGAAATAATCTACTGTTTGCTACTCACAATAAAAGCAATTAGAGAGAGTTTCTTATTAGTCAGTGGGCTATGCTAGAAGACTGGCAGTAAACAAATCTAAAGCAAATGAAATTTAAACGTTCAAGCGCCAGTCTCTATATACCTACACAGTAGCTTTAATGGACTGACGTCTATCAGAAAACAACTACTCTCCTGGCTAATACCACGAAGGGCGTTGGATTATATCCGACAGGCGTCAGTGCAGGAATCTTCACAGAAAATTTCCTGCATATGCATTTGGCAATACAACTGAAAGAGTCGACCTTCAATTCTGGAACGGGCACACTGGCAGACCGGTTTCGGGCTTATTAGCCACTCATCAGTGCAAGATAGTGACCATCATCGACCTAAAGTCGATGATATTCCACAATTGAAAATCGGAATTCTTTCAGAGTATTTCATTCCTCTCCCGAAGTTGGAGCGAACATCACAAAATGTCGCTACATCTAGTGGGCGAGGTACTAACCAACTGCATATCTGTAATTTGCCCGATTCCTCTTAATAAGAAAGAAACACTTTCTTATTAGTCAGTGGGCTATGCTTGAAGACTGGCAGTAAACAAATCTGAAGCAAATGAACTTTAAACGTTCAAGCCAGTCTCTATATACCTACACAGTAGGTTTAATGGACTGATGCCTATCAGAAAACAACTACTCCCCTGGCTAATACCACTGACAGGCGTCAGTACAGGAATTCAAACAAGAATCTGAGAAAGTTAGTCCAGATGGACACAAGAGGAAAAATCAAAAATTATCAAGCGACGAAGAAGAAGAAAATTATTTTTGTCTAGTTTGTTTGGAGCCGTTCGTTGGGGAAAGAAGTGGATTCAATACGGTAAGTGCAAGTATCGGTCTTATCTAGTTTGCACCTGTAAGGGTTCAATCTCAGGGTTTTTTGAAAGGGGTTGCTGCTGATCCAATGAGACACAGGATAAGGTGCGAAACAATCTATTTTCATTTCGAGGGGGAGACAGAGTACTTATTTGGTTGTTGACTTTGTTCTAAAATAATTACAAATGTTTCAATAAAATAATTAAAAGTAGTTAATAAAAACTTCACACACGTGTTACATCGTTTATAGTAATAAAAACCATTACCCACTTAAAATAATTACAGGCACGGGACTCGACGGTGAATCTTGTCCTTAAGAACCACAGTAAGGTAATTTAGAACGAAGTCCACTTTAAAGAGCAAACAAGAAGAATCTTCGAACAATCGAGCAAATATGGCGCATCAAAAACCGTTCTCACTCAGGTCTCTAGAGACGAAAAAGAATCTCGACTGTCGTTCATAAAGATCCTGACCCTGGAAATACTTTGCCAATGCAAAAAACCCGTTAAAATGAAATATTGGTTGCCTATACCGCAGGGCATGAGGGCCATCTCTACTTATGATTAAGGACTGTAGAAAACTGTAAACAACTGGAATCAGCCTTCACTGCGGCGGATAAATTACCGAGAAAATTCACCAGATGGCGAAACGATACTAGTTAAAATGGAAATAAATGAAATAGATGTGATTTGTCACACACCAAACAAGATGCTTTCTGTATTTGCCACAACTGGAATCTGAGTAGCTGAATGCCCAATAGAAAGTCAAAAAAGTTTATGTTATGTATTGCACTTTTATATCTATATTACGATTAGAGATGTGTTTTGATTTCGAATAATTGGTTTTCTAATTCTTATTAACTTTGGATATGAAACAGTAATTGTCCCCAAGGATCGTTACAATCGTTTCGGTGACTGGGACGGTTGTAGACATTTGCACCCTGGAATCTAAAATTGAATATTTTTAGAAACACAGGAAAATTTTCGAATAATTTGATTTGTCATAAAAACTTGTACGTAACTATTGAAAGTCACAATATATCGATGATATGAAAATATTACGATTATCCCCTATCTACCCTACATGAATATTCATACTGATCAATTGGCTTACAGGTTACTTCAGGTGATGTATTGGGGACATTTGGAGGAGAAAACTAGAAAATTTGTGAAAAACAGAATGACCCTATCGAAACAATTATAATATAACACGTAATGAAATTGTAATAGGTTAGTTTTCTTGATTTGAGATGCAGTTTCCTTTCCAATTTTGCTTTCTACAATATATTTCCTAAAGACATTTGTAGTATGAAAAA